TTGGTGCACAATAAACCTGATATCGGATAAAGATATATATGGGAGTTATATCCTAATCTGAACCGATCTCGATAAAATTTGACAGAGGTAGTATCGAGCAGCATCTGATGTCCATTACCAAATATCATTCTTCTGGAGTGCATATTACGCATGTGAGGGACTTATACCCCAAATCGGATGAAACATATATATGGGAGCTAAAGCTATATCTGAACCGATTTTTTTCCGAATTCGATGTACTTGCTTCTAGACTAAATTCGGTAGGATGTACCAAAATTCAGGACTTTTGGATTGATATTGGCCATTTGATGCACAATTAACCCGAAATCGGTTGAAGATATGGGGAAGCTATATCTGAATCTAATCCGATTATCACCAATTTCAACAGGGTTCGTCCTTGGGCCAAACAAATATTGTTTGTAAAATTTCATCTTAATCGGATAATAAATGTGACCTGCATTTGGTTCACAAGAATACATGAACGGACGGACTGACTGATACATGAACGGACATAAATCGACTCAGAAAGTGTTTCTATGAAGATCCTCAAAAGTAACTATGGGTCTATTTCGCTTCCTTCTCCCTGTTACAAAGATATGCACAAAGACATAATACCCTTACCACCATCCTTACCATCAAATCGTATGAAATATATACATAGGAGTTATAGCTATATCTGAACCGATTTTTCTCAAATTTGAAATACCTTCTTCTGGACTGAATCCGGACGTAAGTGCAAACATTATTTGTATTCTACAACAAAAATATTGGTATGTTGAAAATTTAAAGGAAATCGAACATTTATATCCAATTATATGCGAAATCATAAATTCCATATCAATGTCATGCTTCTGGTTAAGAGAAACATTTAGATATAGCAAGTTGTAAAGAATCGTTGATTTTTTTCGCAAGTTATGATAGATATAAGTATTTAAAATTGTGACTCCTTGTGGGTTGGCAGATATCTATCATATTCTCAACAGATATTGCGTTAGCAAAAATATTTGGATGTGTGAATTTTTAAGACAGTTGGATGCTTATTTCGCTTTCTTTTAGCCTTTTGTTTTTCAAAATCTTCAACCCTATGTGGGGCAGCTACCAGAAGAAATTATCCGATCTCTTACATCTTTACAACAGATCTTGTGTTGATGGAAATACTGCGATATACAACTACTGTGCTGAATGGAATCGGATGTTAAGTTCGTGTTTTATGAGCTTCATGAATATTCAAAATATTGATCCTTTATAGGGAAGGTACCAGAAGGAGTGTACCGAAATATTCCATCTTCACACCAGACCTTGGATTAATAAAAATATTGTGATGTGTGTAATTTGAAGACAATCGGACACTTACATCAAATTTTATTATTCATAATTTTTATCCTTTGTGGGGGAGGTACTTGATGGAGTAAACCGATATTGTCCATTTTCGCACTTGACCTAGCACTGATGCAAATATTAGGATTTACATAATTGGAGCAAAATCGGATTATCATTTCTCTTTCTGTACAGTAAATTATTTTCTTTGAAAATGTTGACATTTTGTGGGCAATGTTGCCCATCTCCGAACTTGATCCAATGTTGCCCATATCCGAACTTTGACAATATTATTACCATGTACCATCTTTGGATAAAATCGGATATTCCATTCGAGAGTTAATGTGCCAACCTACCAGCCGGATGAACAGACAGACACTAACAGACTGGTTCGACTCTAAATGTCCTGAAATGGATTTGGCCCAAAGAGACCTAGCGTCTAAAACCGTTATTTCGATGAGGCACTTTTCAGCTGTATCGAATGATATACACCCTCTATTTATCCTGTACCAGATTCTCTAACTACAGAAGCACTATAAAGGACATATTCCTATAATAAAGGTGTGTAGGATAGGTTCTGTGACAGGTATTGACTCTATGAAGGAACAGTGAAATAAACTATCTATAGAAGACCAGTGAAAATGTTTTTTTCAGATTATTTTTAATAGAAAATTTTTTTTACCTCATTTTCATCCACACATATATATCAAGTATTAATTCCACATGGAACTCTATTCTATTTAATGAATTTCCATAAATTTGTGCAAACATTTCAATTAAAAACTATTTTCAATATGAATTGCATTTTCATTAAAGCCACAACACATTTTGCCAAATTTGTACATAGTTGAGTTTTGTGAGTTTATTTGAAATGAATGAATGCTGAACAACTGCATCTCGAAGAGAAATATGATATGGTTTGCGGATTTGTTATATAACCACCGAAAGCAATACATACATGCACACATCTATCTATTCGGAAATTGTGCATGTCAAGTGGTAAAACAAACGTGACATATGGCATAACAAACCAATCAAAATATCCGACATTTCAGTGGAAATTAAGAGAGAGAAAAAATATAACACCAAATGAATAAAATAAAATTGAAATAAATTTATGGTTGGACGAAAATGTGTACTCCATTTTTTGAAATTTTAAAAAATTTAATAATAATTAAATTATCTTGAGATATTTTGATATCTGACTATTTTATGTAAATATTACCTCCGAAGATGCAATTTGATAATTACGAGATATTGTAATTAATAAAGAAAAAGTCTTATTATTTATAAATATTAATTAAATTATTTCTAAGTTCGGTTTATAAATAAAAACTTGACCGAATTTCAAATATCTAAGACTTACTTTCCCAAAATACGTTCATTATATCTTTATATATATTTATTTCTACCCATGATTTCAAATTCACACAATTTTTTTTTTATTCGCCTCCTGACATAACTACACACTTTCAAAATAGGCCCTAAGTAATTTTCTCGAAATTAAGTGTATATTCTTGTTGAGTTATTTTTAGCCTCTGACAAAGTTCATCGTCTTAAAATAAACACAACCCAGCCTACCGCTCAAGATACAATTCTCTTTAATCTTCTTAATAGTTTATGTTCTTGTTGTTCTAGTTGTTCTGCCTTTTATTCATTGCTTTGAGAGTGTTAGTGATTATAGACACGTCACTTAGTGCAAAATTATATACACATAAGTGTATGTGCATATGTGTGTCACAAACACTGACACACATGCGCTCACGTACACCATCAGTGTCTGTATCAGATACTTATGTCAAAATATTTACTTATTCGTTCGTGCATGTGACTGCTGCTATGGTTTCTTTCCATGGCGTGAAGACTTTTCAATTTCTCGTTTCAGTTTTTGATTCCTTCGAATTCCTAGCTACAAATGCTGCTCACGTTCGGTTGTTTAGCAACCAAAATAGAAATTAAGTATGCCGAATGTACTTAAGTCTTTACCGGCAAGAGATGCTACAACATATGCGATGTTGCTCATCATACAATATTTAAGTATTTTATTTATGTTTCAAGAATATTTTAAGAAATCACTTTAAACAATTGGCAGCGAAAATAATGTAGATTTCTTTCCAACTGTGGAAATGATTAAGATTAATTAAAAATTAAAATTAATTAAATACCAGTAAAGAAAGTCCTAAAGTCGGGTGGGGCCGATTTTATGATACCCTACACCACTTTGCTAATTTAGTTGGGCTCCACATAACAATTAAAAGTTTTTATGGGAGAATTCAAACATACACCCTATGATTATAATTATATTTTAAAATTCAAAGGATAAAATATGCCGAAGCATTTATATCTTTTAAATTCGGACTTGTAGTGCCCATTTGGTGAACAATTAATTTGAAATCAGATAAAGATATATATGGGAGCTATATCCAAATCTGAACCGATCTCGATAAAATTTGGCAGATATATATCTGAGCTGTATTTGATATATTTCCCTGAATATCGTTGTTACGGAGTGCATATTACGGCTGGGGGTAACAAATACAACAAATCGGATGAACAATATATATGGGAGCTATAGCTATATCTGAATCGATCTTCACCAAATTTGGCATACTAGCTTCTAGACTCAATTCGGTCGTATGTGCCAAATTCCATCCCATTTGGGCAAATATTAGACGTTTGGTGCACAATAAAAGGTAAATCGGACGAAGTTATATATGGGAGCTATATCCAAATCTGAACCGATCTCGATAAAATTTAGCAAAGGTTTTTCTGAGCTGCATTTGATATATTTCCAAATATTGTTGTTGCATAGTGCATATTACGGCGGCGGTGGACAAAAATAACAAATCGGATGAACAATATATATGGGAGCTATAGCTATATCTGAACCGATTTCGATCAAATTTGGCATACATATTTTCAGGCCTAATTTGGGTGTATATGCAAAATTCCATACGATTCGGGCTGATATTACACGTTTGGTGCACAATAAAAGGCAAATCGGACGAAGATATATATGGGAGCTACATCTAAATTTTGACCGATTATCAATAGGGTTCGTCCTTGGGCCAAACAAAAGATCTTTGCAAAATTTCATCTGGATCGGGCAAATAAATGCGACCTGTACTTTGTTTACAAAAATACATGGACAGACGGACGGACGGACAGACGGACGGACGGACATGCATAAATCGACTCAGAATGTGATTCTATGCAGATCATCAAAAGGAACTATGGGTCTATCTCGTTTCCTTCTGCCTGTTACAAACAAATGCACAAAGACATAATACCCTGACCACCTCGTGGTGTAGGGTATAAAAAGGAAATCCAATATTATGAGCACCAAATTGAGTATTCAGTTCGAAAGGGGTTTTTAATCCACACACCATATCAATGTGACCCTTTAATATATGCCTACAAACGTTGCATATATATGATAGGTGCGTTGAAAATGTACATTTAAGAGCTACGACAGCTTGCGATGCAAAAATTCCAGATCTATGCCAAATTTTTGATACTTATAAAATTAATAAAATTGTACACAAAACTGGTTTGTTATAAATCAACATGGACAATGCAACAATTTCTCCATTAAACCTTGCCTGACCTAATGCATACATTTCATTCTATTTCTACAAGTATTCAATAATACCACACAAATATTATTTTTTAAATATACTTACAAAGGCTGGAACACCACCTTCACCATGTGTGGTATCACCACCGGCTTCCGTATGGGCAGACCAGTTCAGAACATCGTAATTGAAAATGGCATAGGTGTAGACTTCATCGGTGGCCAAAACCATTTGGAATGTGTTGGTCTGTAATGAAAAGCAACCAATTATGGAATAATTAATTATGTAATAATAACTCAACAGTTATTGAAAATAGTAATTAAAAATTGGTACAATTAAATTGAATTTTTATTGCAAATCTACTTAAATGCAAAATTTAATATAACAAGTAAAAAAAATAGTTCGACCGGACCTTTGGGTAAAGGAAACATTTGTATATAAAAGTATCTGAGTTCAAACGTGTTCCATTTAAACTACAAATAACAGTAGGACCTTTTGGATAATGCTGTTAACCTTTTCAAAAACCATAGTGTAGATGAGGCCGTTATTAGGAGCGCCATACCATAAGGGGAACCTCTGTAGACAATTTTATACATCAAGAATTGTTAGCTACCAAATCTTCTTAAATTCCAAATTTGAAACAATTTCGTGGGTAAATGTAACTAGGATTATTAAAAACCGAGTATTGACTAATGCATACAATATTTCGCCACCGGAGGTAGAACCTATTATGAACTACATATACCAATTTATGGACAAATCCGTAAAAAAATGTGGCGAAAATCATCAAAATATCGAATATATGTAGGTTACGTTGTATGAGGGCTATACAAAAAAGTGGACCTATATATACAATGTTCCGCCTCCGGATGTAGAACCTATTATGACCTACAAACACCAATTTGTAGACAAATCTGCGAAAACATGTGGCAAAACTAACCAAAATGCCAAATATCAGAAAGTACCGTTATATGGCGGCTATATCAAAACCGATGGACCTATTTTCAATACCAACCATCCGAGACACAATACAAATTGTTCTGTCGAATTTTGAAGCTCTACGTGAAGTAATGTGGTCTGTATCGTGATTTCAACAGACAGGCATCGTTAAATCGAGATAAAATTTTATACTGACATCTACTTTATGGGGTCTACGAGAAATATTTCGGTATGTTACAAACGGAATGACAAAATTAGCATACCCTCCCTTTCAAGGTGGAGGGTATAAAAATATGCATATTCTCTTAAAACAATATATTTTTCTTCAATTATTCATCCCATATCACTTCAAAATCCAATCCTATTTCCATGCACATTCCTGCATAAATATGTCTCCTTGTGGTCTAACCTAGGAATTAACCTGCAAAATTATACTTTTCATACCATAACGACTATGCCACATTATAAGATAATATGTATTAATCAACTCTATGGCATTAATACAATTTCCCTCCGCTTCTCCCATCCTTATTCCCCTCACCCTTTCCTAACCGTTCACCATTGTCAACACAATTTTCCGAACGCATTACAATGAAATATGCAATCCTGGCATTGTTATTTACTTATGTAATGTGAAAATTGTCATTATCCTGGGCAAGACACACAGAATGACACACATGACATTATTTACCCAGTAAATAATGGCATTATTAAATAAGACCCAGTTCCAGAGTGGCAGACAACTAGTCTGCCAGGTATTCAAATGACAATAAGGAATTCAGTTACAATACGATTGCGATGCAAAGTGACAACGGAGGTGTGTCTGAATGTATGTGCCAGGCAAAATTGCATATGTATGCATTCTTTGTAATTACAAATACGTTGTAGGTATGTGAGTGAGTGTGTGTGTGTTGCATATCGAATTTATAATGGACACTTTAATTATGCGACTCATTTGAATATTTCGCTATTTGATTGACAGTGTAAATGGCATTAATTATGTATGTATTTCGAAAGACATATCGAAATATGAGCGAAAATGTCTGAGTTGGATTTCTAGTCAGTGGTGCAAGGCGCTAGCAAGAGAATAGAAATATTATATACTTAGGTTTTTTTGGAACTTAAAATCCAGTGTAAGCGTAATACCTATATATTAAAGAAGTGTGACACAACTGACTGACTGAGAGACGAGACAAAACGGAATCTGGAAATTTCGAAGGGTTTTTTGAAATTCATACCTCAAGGGTACGAAAAGTATAAGTTGTATTGGACAAATAGAATGAGCTAAAAACCTAAATTTTCGAATACGAATCACTGGTGAAGTGCAGGGGGTGTGACACAACTGACTGACTGACAATCAACGCCCTATAAGTAGTAGATTTGTGAAATGAGGTAGTTTTGGAAATTTGCACTACAAGTGCACGTACTTTATTTGATACAATTTGGTATTGGGTGAACATATAGTGTTGGAAACCTGAAATTAGAGGTATTAGAGTCGCTGTTCATGTGTAGCATGGACATATGCGGGTGGTTCGGGAATGTGTACTATAATTGTACGAAAAGTACTGAATTGATATGAGGTAAAGGGATAGAAATAACATTCTGAAATTTGATTTGGTATCTGTGTTAGAGATTTGGCGGTGGTATGGAAATGCGTCCTATATTTGTACGAAAAGTACTAAAAGGTACTATTTGGTATTTGGGAAAGATAGGACTGGAATTCTTATATTTCATATTGCGGTCTCCATTGGTATCCGGAATTGAGATATGAAGCTGCTTTTGGAAATGTGTACTATACAGGGTGAACTGAAAAAACAGCAACCAACTTCAGACTGCTGTCATTTTTAAACCACTCGTCCGACAGCTGTTTCAATTATTCCAGTGACAGATCATTATATTATTTACAAGCGTACGAAAGCATTTTGGTGAGAATTTTCCAGAAAAAAAGTTTTTCGTGGTGGAATTCAAGCGTTGGATATTTAGCTCGAAAACCGCGAGTGGCTATGGTTAGAGCACTCCAGCATTTAAATGTGAATAAATATTTTGTGTCTCGTACCATGTGTCTCGTTACCGTGATACTGGTAGCGTAGCCCGACGTCAAGGAAGTGGACAGAAGAAAACAGCAACATCAGCAGAAATGGTTCGAAAAGTAAAGAAGCGACTTGATCGAAACCCGCGTCACAGTGGCAGAAAAATGGCTCGTGAGCTGAACATAGCGCAATATTCCATTCGGAAAATATTGAAAAATGACCCGAGCTCATAAAGACATTGAAATTCAAAAAAGTGCAAGAACTTACACCGCAACAGAAAGAAAACGGACTCAAAAGAGCTAAAGAGTTGCTTCGCTAGTGCGAAAGTGGTGAACTGCCGAATTTGGTTTTATCCGATGAGAAAACATTCGTTGTCCAGCCAAACTTGCCAAAGAGGTCAGCTGAAAATGTGCACCTTCTCAAGCGCCGGTCATGGTGATGGTGTGGGCCGCCATAACAGCCGATGGGTGCTCTTCGCCCGTAATAATCGACCGTGGCATCAGAATAAATGCCGAATGTTATCGCGAAAATATTCTGGAGGGTGTAATAAAGCCTTGGGCATGCAAACATTTTGGCCGCAAACCTTAGACATTCTAACAGGTCTCTGCATCATCGTACTCAGCAAGCGCCAACCAAGAATGCTTACAAAATGCGGTTCCTCGCTTCATTTCCAGCGCACAATGGCCACAAAAATCTCCGAACACCAATCTATTGTGTCTGGAGTATTTTGGAAAACAAGTTTGGCACTAAAAAATACCAATGTGTCGATCACCTCAAGCAAGCGCTTCGCCGTGAATAAGCCAAAATACCGCAGAGCAACATTCGAGCAGCGTGTGACGGTTTCATTGGCCGTTTGAAGACCACAATTCATGCTAAAGGTGACCAATTCGAACAAATCCAAACTTATTCTAAAATTTGATGCTATTTCCGTCATTTTTTGCTTTGATTTAATAAAATGTTAAAAAAAAAAATGTAAAAATTATGGCTTTGTTGCAGTTTTTATCTCACCCTGTATGCACATGTTACGAAATATCCCAATAACAATTTTTGATCAACAATTCAATTCAGATAATCCTGGCTATGTAGGACCAATTTATAAGAAGTTGTTTGACTTCTGTATTGTATTTAATGCGGTTTTTAGCCACATAGGACAAAAAGGTATAGTCACCCACATTTGACTCCAAATTCAAAGGATCATGTGGAAAGATCCCACCTTTCACAGGAGAAGCTACCATAAGCTTAAGGCTAAATTCAATTTAATATTGATATTTTAATCTATAAAATAAGTCAGAACGTGTCAGTCGATCTTGCAAACATATGTAGGGTCAAGTTGCTAATCAATGAGAACTATGGGCTCTTCCGAAAATATATGGGGTATAAAACAGTTGTGCCACATATCAAGCGTATATGATATATACAGAAACATAGCCTAACCAAAGTCCCTGCCAAAATGTTAACTTTTCTGACATCAGTTCAAAATGCATTTCTAGATACTTCGCTGAGGATGACTCATTGTTTTCATTAAATTTTTCGTAAAAAAAAAAATGTTTGTGAAATGTCTTCCCATTTTCCCAATGTATCGAGGGTATCGCCCCCTAACTGAGCCCACCCCCTAAACGAATTTGTATGATATTGAAACTAGTGTTAGAACTAGTAACATGGTGTAAGTTTACACCTTTTCCAACTACTCCAACTAAAACGCTGTCAAAGTGTCAAGCTTAATGGTTGGTTTCGTGTGTGCGAGCGAGTTTGAGTGCGAGGGTGTTTGTGTGTGTGTTGTCAGTAAACATTCAAACGCCCCCAATTACTTAAATAAACTGTCCTTTCCACGATTAACATTGAGTGCTTTTTGGAGAATAAAATCCATCCACCCCAAAATACATTTATGACAAATGCCATAACTCTTAAGAACTACGTTGTTATTCATCAGCATAAATATTGACGTGAGTTCAAGATATTCTGTTTATGTTGATGACACTTCGTGTACGAACTGACTGACCACATGCCCAATAACAACAACAACACCAACAATTAACTGCGTAAATACGAATTAATGACTTGATGGAATGAATATTTGCAAGAATATTTATTGCAAATTCATTTCGGATGAATTTTTTGTACGGGACTTTCAAGTTTGTGAAGTAATTTCGATTTTTTGCAAATAAATAATTAATTTATAATTTAATATATTTATATTTATTTACAGTAGAAAAATAAAATTTGGAAATGAAAAATAATTTAATAGAAGGAAAATTGAACAACAATTCACAGCGAGAATATCCTTTCCGGTTTTATATTTTTTCAAAATAGGCCACAAAAATAACAGAATTGCCAGGATAATCAGCAATTCTTGTCCTATTTTGGGTGCAGGTATACATCATTTCTCCCAAACAAGTTACTGATTTGAATGAACTTGAGTTCTCCAATAATGTATAAACGAGCTTGAGGTCATCAATTGCCTGTTTATGAGATTGAGGTATTATATTGTCAAAAAAAGTCTTGAGATCCCTAATATCGGGTTTCCAGTTGCATCTACAACACACGGAGGTCTTCAACTCTCCATAAATGATCCCAGTATTTTCTACAGTCTATGGCAGACTTTCGCCATTTAGAACAAATCACGGGGAGCCCGATATGCCATAGAACACTTTAGTGTCTTCTATTGTCCATGAAGACCTTGAGTTTCTCTATCGGCTATAAATGGCCAATACATTCTACGGTCAATAGAAGATCTCATTTCTAATGGCCGTAGAATGTATTTGTTTCTTCTATCGACCATGAAGACCTTGAGGTCCTCTATCGTCTATAGAGGTTTTGCATTTTTCTATTGTCAATAGAAGATATCGAAGACTTTCAGGTTTTCTTTTGTTCATAGAACACCTTGAGTTCTTCTATTGACCGTAGAAGACCTGCAGGTACACTATCGCTACAGAAGACCTTGAGGTCTTCTTTTTTTACACAGAAGACTTTGACATCTTCTATAGAAAACCTGCAGGCCTTCTATCATCGAAAGAAGATCTTGAGGTATTTTATTGGCCATAGAACACCTCTTTCACAGAAGGGCTTGAGGCATATCGGGTCTTCTAATTTTCCATAGGAGAAATTTAGGCCCTCTATCGTTCGCAGAAGGTCTTGAGATCCTTTTTTGCCCATAGAAATCCTTCAAATTCTATATCGTCCATAAAAAACCTTGAGGTCTTCTAGTTTTCACATAAGTCTTTGAAGTCTTCAATTTCCTACAGAAATTGAAATCCTACCTTGAGGTTTTCTATTGTCCACAGAAAACCATAATTAAAAGAAGACGTTCAGGTCTTCTACCATCCCTGTGAGATCCCGAAATCTTCTATAGTCTTAAGAAGACCTTAAAGTCTTTCCCAGTATCATGTATCTAACTAATAAATCCTTTATAGTTTATGGAGAAACTTGAGGTCTCTAATTTTAAATATAGGTATTTTATGTTTAATGTAGGACCTTGAGGTGTCCACCTGACCTTCATGTCATATTATCCATAGAGGTCCTCTATCGTCAATGAAAACGTCTCCTATTGGCAGTCTTGGGATCTTCTATTAACTGCAGAAGGTCTTAGGAGTACTTGACTTGTCGTGTATAATTCATGGAGACCTTGAAGTCTTTTATGGCACATAGATGACTTAGAGTTCTCCTATTGTCCATATAAGACCAGCAGATTTTCTATCGTTCTTTGAGGCCTTCTATAGAAGATCTACAGGTCCTCTGTCATTAAAAGAAGACCTCTATCGTTCATAGAAGTTCTGGAGGGGTTTCATTTTCATTTGTCCATAGAAGACCTTCAGGTTCTATATCGTCCATAAATAGCTTCAGGTCCTCTATTCTCCACAGAAGTATTTAAAGTCTTATATTTCCTACAGAAGACCTTGAGGATTTCTATTGTCCATAGAAGACCTGCAGGTCCTCTATAATCAAAAGAAGGCCTTGAGTCTTTGAGGTCTTCTAAAGTCCATAGAAGACCTTGAAGTCTTCCATTATCCCTAAAAGATCTTGAGGTCTTCTATTATCCCTGGAATGTCATTTTGTGCAATAGAATTTTAAAAAATGTGCATTAATTATAATTGGGAAAAATTTCGAATTTCGATTGAAGCACCAATATTTCAATCAATTCCACAAAAAAAAAAAAATATATACCACCTACCGTGAACAGGGAATTATCAATGCCACCAGCAAATGAAACATTTTTCCAGGTAGTAATAACAACGTGTTTTGGTACGAAAGTTTCAGCGCCAACGACGCCATCACGAATATCCCACATGGTGCGTTCACGTACTTCAACACCGAATCTGTCGGTACGAGTCATCAAATCACGTTCCATACTGCAAAAAAAAAAACAAAACGAAACGAAAAAAAAATATTAAACATGGACCATGCAAAAGTGAAAAAACAACGAAACACCAGAACATGAAGTATTTATGCGATTTACTAATACTCAGCAGAAAAAAAGAAAATCCATCATATTAGAGGTGATACCAACACCAGCAAATAAACCAACCAAATGTGCTTAGGATAAATTACAAATGTTTGACATGCTAAAAGGATGCTGTTTTACATGCTGAGTAAGGATGTTTTCGTTCGCATTTTTCCAGCAGCTGGGGGAATGGGATAAGAATATAACAACTTGGCTCCCAAGAGGTTTTCATACATTTTTCCTTTTCTGAAATACCCATTTTCTGTGCGTCATACAAAATTTTATCCCTGTGATATATGCACTGCCTGCGTGTGTGTCTTCGTGTGTGTGTGTGTGTGTGCATGTCTGTTTTATATGCTCAACTTTTGACAGTATTATTAAAAATGAAGATAAATGATTATGATGCATTGAAGTATGAACATTTGTTGTATCACCGAAGGAAAAGGTTTACATTCTGGTGATATATATTCAAAATGATGTTCATATTATGTTCAAAATTGTTCTGGAGTAGTGAGATATTATGCGACATATAATCGATATTGAATGGTTAACCATGCGTATACTTAATGGTATTATATTGGTGTAATGTATACGTCAACTAGCTGCACCAGTTTTCCAGCAGAATGAAGAATTTGTTTATAATCTAAATATATAATATAATAATATATAATAAATAATATAAATGCATTTTGGTTATGACAAGCTTTCACGATTAAAATTTATGTATATAGCTGTGAAAGTAGGGAGGTGATAAGGAGTTGTTGTTTTGGAATTTCGTACTAAATTTTATAAATAGAAAAATTGCATTTTTTAAACAAATATAGAATAGGTTTTACAATTCGAAAATTCAATTAATAAGAATTAAAGTTTTCGAACAAAAACTGAACTGTTGGTACCTGGAGCTGAAACCTTCAAAATGTCGGATATCAGGTGTTACCGTTGTAATTTACATGCAAGAACGTTGTATATCCACTCAGAAAATGGCGTCTGTAAACTTAAAATGCCTAAAGTTCGATTATGTGATTACATGGGGACCACAACTATACATGGGCTTATATATATTTGAAGTCTTCTATTGTCTACAGAAGACCCTGTGGCCTTTTATCGTTTATAAAACACATTGAAATCTTCTTTGGTTCATGGAAAATAATGAGACTTCTATGGCTCATGGAACACCTGTCATCTCCTATTCTCTATAGAGGATCGTTGGATTTTCTTTGAGACATAGAACACCTTGAGGTCTTCTATTATCCATAGAACACTTTAAGGCCTATTTTTTTTTTTGTCTATAGAAAACCTAGAGTGTGATTTCTTTATATTTGACTGGAAAACCTCAAGTGGCTATCGTTACAGCACTCCAGCATTTAAATGTGAATAAATCTTTTGTGTCTCGTACCATCGCTCGTTACCGTGTTATTGGTAGCGTAGGCCGACGTCAAGCAAGTGGTCGGAAGAAAACAGCAAGATCAGCAGAAATGGTTCGAAAAGTAAAGAAGCGACTTGATCGAAACCCGCGTCACAGTGGCCGAAAAATGGCTCGTAAGCTGAACATGTCGCAATATTCCATTCGGCAAATATCGAAAAATGAGCTCGGGGTAAAGCCATTGAAATTCCAAAAAGTGCGAGAACGTACACCGCAACGGAAAGAAAATAGACTCAAAAGAGCTAAAGAGTTGCTTCGCTTTGCCCAAAGTGAGGAACTGTCAAATTTTGTTTTCTCCGATGAGAAAACATTCGTTGTCCAGCAGTTTGTAAACAATCAAAATGGTCGTTTTTACTTGCCAAAGAGGTCAGCTAAGAATGTGCACCTTCGGTTGGCCACCAGAACTCAAGCGCCGGCCATGGTGATGGTGTGGGCCGCCATAACAGCCGATGGTCGGTCTCCGCTCGTATTTATCGACCGTGGAATCAGAAAAAATGTCCAATATTATCGCGAAAATACTCTGGAGTGTGTATTAAAGCCTTGGGCACGCAACATTTTGGCCGCAGACCTTGGACATTCCAACAGGACTCAGCACTAACGCACTCACCACGCGCCACCCAAGAATGGTTACAAAATGAGGGTCCTCGCTTCATTTCCAGCGCACAATGGCCACCAAAATTACGGGACACTAATCCGTTGAACTATTGTGTCTGGAGTATTTAGGAAAGCAAGGTTGGCACTAAAAAAACCTCTCAAGCAAGCGCTTCGCCGGGAATGGGCCAAAATACCGCAGAGCAATATTCGGGCAGTGTGTGACGGTTTCATTGGCCGTTTGAAGGCCATAATTCGTGCCAAAGGTGTACAATTCGAACAAATCTAAAGTTATTCTAAAATTTGATGCTATTTCCGACATTTTTTGCTTTCATTCAAGAAAATTAAAAAAAATGTCAAAATTATGGCGTTTTACTTTGTTGCAGTTTTATATCTCACCCTGTATAAGCACTAATGTATTTAAATGCTTATTGTTTTATTAATTGTAACAAAAATAATATGACAATACATTTATCATTTTTTGAGCTATTTTTTTTCGTGATACCCTTACACACCTAAAAAAACAAAAAAAAAAAGAGGAGGAAACTAACAATAACAAGTCCTTAACAAGAAAACATTTTATGGTTCACCACCACATGACATATGTACGTTTTGTGGTTTTACCTTTCCGTTTTTTTACGAATATCACATTTCTTCATTTTTTCTCGGTTATTTATTGTTACCAGGGTCATTATGTCACCCATAAGTAAGTTCAAACATATAAACATACCACTATGACTACCACTGCCACCTGGAGTATGGGAACATATGAATCTGTTGTTGTTGTTGTTGTTGTTGTTGACTACATCATTTAGAATCTCAATTCTCAAACAACAATTGAAGCATAATTCACTCGGTGCCATATTTCATTGTTGTGTCATAATAAATTACTTTTCATACATCTGTTGTGGTTCTGGGGTATATTCATTTCCTGTTTTTTTTTTCTTCTTCATCCTAGCTCTCGCATGAATTTTCTTATGCTTTGAAGTATGTGTGTTGCTCTTTTTTCATTTGCGAACACACGCACACTCACACCGACCCACTTCATTGAGCTTTATTCCTGTTGAGCTGTAAATCAATTGAAATTGTAACAGCAAATGGCAGGATAGGTAGGTAAACTTCATCTAGCTTCTTAATTTATTACCTCTAACATGTTGTCTTTAAGAAGAATAAATTGAAATACACTCTTTTAATAGACGTTTCATTTTCGATTTAATTAAAATAGAGAAATTGAAAAAAATTGAGAAAAATGTATTGTAAGAGAAAATTGTTTAACTAAGTTTTATTGATTGATATATGAATATCCCTAAACGATTTGAAATAATATAAGTTGTCAAAATTAATTATTCTATAGATGATTTAAGGGCTTCTTTTCTTTAAAAAGAAGTGGTATTTCATTTTTTTTTTCTGAAAAAAATAGTGAAATAGTCTCTTTATCATAGAAGACCTTTAAAAGGTCTAATTTGTGCAGGAAGACCATTTTTATACTTTCCACCATAGTATGGAGGCTATATTAAGTTTGTCATTCCGATTGTAACACCTCGAAATATATAATTTAGACCCACAAAGTAGATCAACATAAGATTCTATGTCGATTTCCGTCCGCCTGTCCGTCTGTGGAAATCACTCAGTCCATGCCTTCGTATAGCCCCCACATAACTCACCTCCCATATTCCGTATTTTGATGATTTTAGCGACATTATTCACCGGAATTATTATGTTCGTAATAAATACTACAGCCTATGACAGAAAACTGTTTGTGCAAGTCCCATATAATGGTATAATGGTTGTATAGACCCCAGATAATGGTACCTCCCTATTTTCGGTATTTTGATTATTTAAGCGACATTATTCATCTGAAATGTTTGAAATTTGGTATTTGAAGTTCATAATGGATACTATACCCTATGATAGAAAATTGTCAATGCAAGTCCATGCCTTCGTATAGCCCCCATATAACGCGCCTCCCGATATTCCGTATTTTGATGATTTAACGAGATTATTCACCGGAGTTGTTTGAAATTTGCTTTTTGAAGTTCGTAATGGATTCCTCAGCCTAAGACAGCAAATTGTCAGTGCAGGTTTACGTCTTGGTATAGCCCCCATATAAGAGTACCTCCCTATATTCGTTATTTTGATGTTTTTAGCTACATTATTCACCGATTTTATTCAAATTTGTTTTTGAATATTGTAAAGACTTTTGACAAAATTTACTTACGTCGTCATATAGATCCTAATATGACGGCTACATTCGGAATTTTTAAGATTATAACAGAATTTGTAACGAACTTTATTTTTTTTTTAAATAGCCAAATTCGTTCCAAATGGTGGAGGGTATTCAAAGTTTGCTCGGCCGAACTTAAAGCTTTTTTACTTGTATTTTTAAAGAGTCTCTTTCTATCGGAGACCTTCAGAGAGTATTCATTATATAGATTCTTCAAATGGCCTTCTATTCATAGAACACTTTAAAAAATCGACTATTCATAGGAGACCATTACACCTTTATGAGGTCTCCTTTCCATAGAGGACATTAATAAGGTCTTCTTTTCCAATAAAAAATCTTTGAAAGGTCTTACATATAATAATGAAACTTCTAAATGTCATATGGGAAAAGGGGGCCTCCAACTTTTAATAAGTCTTCCATTTATTTTAAAATAATCTACTTTTCTTAGACGATTAAAATACATTCTATTCTATAAGAAGATACCTTTCAAAAAGTCTTTTTTAAGAAAAAGAAGACCTCCCAAAGGTGTTCTCTCTGAAGTAAACCTACTTTCTAAAACGACTTCCCTAAGAAGAAGGATTTCTAAACGAATAAGTCTTTCAAAAATCTTTCGTTACGAATAAGATGAAAGTTTTTTTTTGTAAAATGAAGACCTTCTCTGAGAACAAGA